ATGATAATTTTTTTTTTTTTTGTTCACTCAAAACGTCAAACGTCAAATTTTAACGTTATTACTTATTAACTTTAATAATGTCAAGATTATAAACTTTCATATTTGTTATAAAATCATATTTTACATTATTAATAATATCTTAAATTTAAACGTACAATCAACAAATTTTAAAAACAACCAAAAAAAAATTGTTTTTTTTTATTATTCGGTGTCGGAATTTATTAAAATTCTCATAAATTTTATTTACTCCATTTTGGTTCTACGGGCAGCCATTTTAGATTTCATAAAAAAAAAAATTTTTTTTTTTTTGGTAATTATTTATCGATTTAAAAACAATAAAATAATGAAATGAATAATTATTATTATCGTTTTTTTTGACCTGATTTCGAATGTTTTTATTTTAAAAATCTATCCCTCCAGAATTCAATTCTTTCCCTAAAAAATAGAATATTCTAGAACTTTTACCATTCGTACCGGGTTCATTCATTATCATGACTTCATTCAGGTTATTTTGTTTAGTATTCGTTAAAATCAAGGATTTTCAATAAAAAAAACTTTCAGGGTTTATACTTAACGGATTTTTTATTTTTTTTTATACTATGCTATCGATTATTATTATTATCAATGTTTTTTTTTGTTATACAAGCCAAGTCCTCCTGCATACCAACGTTTTATTAACATCCGTTTCAAGTTTCTACCATAGTTCTCAGAAAATTATTTATTTTATCATTTCTTATTATTATTATTATCATCATTATTATCATTATTATCATTATCACTTATTCATGTCAAAATCCATTAACTTAGAGGGTTTCTACCCTATTATTCACGAGGGAGGTTGTTTGAATCTGGGTAGATTTGTTATTAAAAAAAAATTTTTCCAACAATTTTTTTTTATTATTATTATTTCTTTCAATTATAAATATTATTATTATTATTATTTTTGTACCTATTTATATATTTTTAAAAAAAACAAAGAGACTAACCTTAAAATATGGTAAACAATCATTTACATATTTAACCTTGTTACTTATTTCTTGTATATTTTCTCTGGTTGTTATTTCTTCCGTCATAATTAATTTTTTTAAACATTTTACAAAGTAAAAGGTTGTTATTATTATTATCATTACATGTCGTGAATAGAGAACATGGAGATACAAGGAAAATTATTAATTAAATAATTTTTAGCAGAAAAGAATTTTTACCTTTTCAATATAACATCCTACCTACTCATCATTCTATTTATATTTTATTTCGTGTGGAAAAACCAAAATATTTTTGAGTAATAAACTCCTTTTTTTTATATATATATAATAAAAAGAACTTTATTAAAAATTATTTTTTCCTTAAATTTTATTAAATTGCGTGAACCATGTACGATACATTTTGTAAAAAAAAATCAAACAATTTTTTAATGGTTATGTTATTATGCAATTTAAAAAAAAAAAAAAAACATTTAATTAAAAAATTTTATATGTTTACGTTGTTATTTTTTTTTTAACGTTGTCAGCAATGTTAAAAAAAAAAAAAAATTTAAATTAACTCGTTTTATTTTCCTCGAATATATATATAAACATTTACCAACAATTTTTCTTACGTAAATAAAATTTACCATACTTTTAAAACCTTGTTTAAATATATATTTCACCTTCATTTATATAACTTTCCTTTTTATATATACATACATCTTTTATTGCTACGTTTCTCAGTTATTTTTTACAAACACACCCACACCCGCACACACCCCCCACACACACACAGACACAGACACTAAAGCAGGAAACATGTCAATTTTGTTTTTCATGTACTTTCAATATACCAAAAAAAAACGACTCGATTTACTTTTGCTATCCCTATTTACACGACAGAATCTATGAGAATACCTAAAAAATTTATTTTTTTGGGGGGAAGGCAGTCTTAGACGAAAGTAAACACGATTTTAATTTGTACCGTAGTGTAAGAAATCATCAAATGAAAAATAATTCGTTCGATTTGAAATTATTAATATTGTAACATGCGATTTTTTTTATTCCCCTTGACTTTTAACATTTAATACGAACAAATAAAGGAATAAAAAAAAAAAAAAATTCTTCCATCACGACAAATGGTGGTGACGCATTCAAT